TATATAAGTATATATGTATATATGTATGTATATGTATATATATACATATACATATATATTTATATATATGTGTATATATAAGTATATATGTATATATGTATGTATATGTATATATATACATATACATATATATTTATATATATGTGTATATATAAGTATATATGTATATATGTATGTATATGTATATATATACATATAGATATATATATGTATGTATATATGTATATATACGTATATACATAATCAATATTTTTCTCACTCCACATTTCTTTTTGACTGAAAATGTACCAAACCGTTATGTCAGTACTTCTCAATTACCTGATAACTGATAACCAGCCTACACTCACTAGGTGGCAGCAACTCATACGGTGGTTTGTACATATACATAAAAAAATACATTTTATCAGGTTCTTGATAGCATTTCAATTCGCGGTTGTGTGGGGTCGGTGGGGGCCGATAAAAATGTACCTAGTGATCTGTGGCTTTTCTGTACTTACGACAGTAGAGTTACTGACTGACTTACCTGTCTGTGCAATGACTCCTTACTGGCCAACTCATTTTCTAGCTTGTCTTTGATATCATGGAGAGATGTTGCCTCTCTCTGAGCACTGAGGTACCTGCATTAAAAAACAAACTGAGTCAGTGGTAAGTTGTAGGACCGGTACTCTATGTAAGAGTATATCATTTCAGTAAATCTAATCTCAGATCACCCTTTTTTCACCGCATTGTCCACCTTTTTTGCGTCGCTTCATCAAAAGACCACAACCCACGGGTTGAGACCCACTACTTGTGAATCACCGTCTTTGTTCCTGCCGTTGCTGAGTAGCTCTTAATGTCGAGAGGAGGAAAAATGGAACTGTGTACTGTATGTGGTGCTACTACTTGGAGTTCTCTTACATTGTTGCTACAGAGGAGTCCTGTGTTTTCATGCGGTTCTACATTAGACATCTCTTAAGGAATGCTTAAAGGCGTAAACTGTAAACACAGCTTTGTCACTGACCTCGACATCCTGTTTATTTTACATGTCTGGATGACTGTTTTGGACTGGCTGCTCTCTGCCTATTACAGTTAAACCTTCCGTCATACTGTATATTGTTTTATGATGGCTGTGTAATTACATGATGGAACAGGCTCGCTATCATCGCACAATATAAACATCAGCCCTTGTTGGTTTGATATGTATCATATTTAAGCATTTACTGTTGCACAAACAATAAATGAATTGAATCTCGGAGCTGCGGTGCACAACAAAGCAGAGCAGCAAAATGAAATGTTAGAAATAAATAGTGCGAACTATTTGTCAATAATCTATTTATTTATTATTATTATTATTATTATTTATTTAGCTATTTATCAATAGCTCAAGAGAGTAGAATATAATATGCGAATGTTCATTCTTTCTTTCAAAGTCACAGAAAAACACATTAACCCTCAACACTCAAACAATGAAGAAAAAAAAAATAATACCTGTGTTCCAATGTGGTAATTCGTTCTTCCATGTCCTCCCTTTGGCACAGAGCCTGAGGGAAACAGCACAGAAGTGTTATATAATACAAGAGTATACATAATAAAATGTGGGTTTTTTTTTAGGAATTTAAGCATGACAAAATGCCAATGTATAAATGGCTGTTTTAAAATGGTCTGTTTAGGGTTAGGCTTATCAGACAAAACATAAAAAAAAGAAGAATTAGGAAGAAATATCAGAAGTGTATAACCTATAATAATCTTCCACTTTCAATTCACTGACAATTCGAATTTTGTACGAAACCGGGACCTGTTTAGTTGAACACAACACTTATATACTCGCAGGTATTGGGAAAAAAACAAAAAAAACAAAAAACATGAAGGTCACTTTCAACAGCTCTCAGTCTCTCGACAGTCGCTGTCCGTTTTTAGTTTTTTAAAGCCATCTGCTGACACCTAGTGGGAAAGTATTTAAATGTTCCAAATGTCTACTATCTCTTGTACAAAGACAAATAATTTGCAATACTAAAGAAATAAAAGTATTATACAAATTTTTTAAAAAAAGGTAAAATTGCATAGTCTTTTATTTTTTGGTGTAAAAAATAATTTTAATTGTCAGCTTTTTTTTTAAATTGTGAATGACATGCTTTTCTTCTAAACAGGAAGTGAACATTAATTAGTTCATTCATTAATTATTAAATTTATGTTTTTCAACCTTGACGAGAAGGTCAATCATTGGCGTTACTTACTTGGAAATACACGCACATATAAGTGTCTCGTTCTCCAACATACATCCTAGTATTTACACAATAAGAAGTGTGCAGGATCTTAGCCAGGTAGCGACAGATTGTCACAGACAGACCTCCTTTACTTCCCTTTGGAGCTTCTGATTGGCCTCCTCTGAGTTTGTCACCTCCCTCCTGGCGGTTGCAAGCTGCTCTTCTATTTCTCCAACCTGGTGTGTGTAAGCACAGGGATACGAGATGGCAGGGATTTAACCTATAGAATGTCTATAAGGTTTGGCAGAGCACATCTCTGATATACTCGCAGGAATTGATGAAAGATACGCTGAAGAACAACCATTGTTCCTTTGTTCCTGCCTAGCCTGTTCGGCATAAGTTTAGACTATGAAAGATACGCTGAAGAACAACCATTGTTCCTTTGTTCCTTTGTTGCCTGTTCGGCATAAGTTTAGACTGTTTGTGTTGGATTAAAGTAATGAAAAATAAATCTGGACTCATTTCAATAGATTTGCGCACCTAATCTCAGCCTGCTTCCTGCACCACTGCAGGTAACATTTGAGTCTTTTTTTTTTATTTTTTATTTTTATTTATCCATCTGCTGCCACCTAGTGGAAGAGTATTTAAATGTTATGCCTGTCTCCTTATGCATAAATGAACAAAGACAATTTATTTGCAGCATAATAATACAAATAACAACAACATACATATACAACATACATATACATATATGTAAATATATATATGTATGTGTCTATATACAATATATATGTGAACATATATTCTGAAGGCATATCACTCACAATAAGTGGGTAATAAAATCGACTAAGTTTTTTTTAATTACTGCTTTGATTGTGAATATTTTTAAAAACAACTGTTCGTAGTATTTATATATATATCAGTACATGTAACCAAACGAATAAGATGACTGACACTTGTGGCTATATCAGTTTGATTTTAGACCGTATTGGTAATCTCTGTTTAGTTTAAGCTAAAGTATAACGCCTTAGTTTCAAAGGTTCGACTAACATCCAAGTTTTTTTTTTTTTTTTAATTATTTAAAATGTCTTTTTAAACATTTAAATTATGAAGAAACCAGACCAGACAGAAACCAACCTGCCGACACATGAGGGCCAGTCTATCCCTCAGCTGGGAGAGTTCTGCTCTCTGTCGCTCAATCTCGCCTTCTCTCTGCCTCTCTGGCTCGCTGTCTTCCAGGCAAGATGAGGGACCATTAGATAGTCGCTTGTATGACAATAATACATAGAAGGAGAGTGATAAAAAAAAAAAAAAAAAAGTTGTTTTAAAACGTTTTTTAGATGACCATCAACCAGGCTAAGAGTAAAACGAAATAGACAAACACGGCTGTAAAACCCATGTTAAAACATGGTATTTCTGTTGACTTTGTAGGTGATAGCATAAACACAGAATAACTGGAACCGACATGTACAAAAACCCTCCCTTACATCTTGCCCGACGTGCACCCCTTGTTGACGTCTTTTAATTTGGTCTTTTAAAGAGATTACCTGGGAAAGAGACAATAGTTTGTTAGTTTGTTTTTTTTAGCTTATGATCACAGAGAGACGACAATGTGGAAATAGGACATTACCTCTTGAGAAGATGTTGCAAGCTGGTCCTCTAACATTGACACCCTCTCAAGGGCCACTCGCAGCCTTTCCCGCACCTGTGTGGTTGGGGAAAATTACGAGATTTACAGACCGTAACGTTGCTCACAACAAACGTTGTTTTTGTAAAAGAGGAAAACAACAGTGTGTATGTCCTTCCTTAAGCTTAATATTTATGCAAGGTTGAAGTTGATAAAAAGTACAGACCATATTGAAATTTACCAATTCGTTTTTTTTTTGGAAGTTGATAAAAAGTACAGACCATATTAAAATTTACCAATTTGTTTTTTGTTTTTTTTTACCATTAAGAAAATGTCTCATTTATTTAATCTTTTTTTTTTGGGATGGCTCAATATAAGTTTTTCTGCAACAATATCTGCCAATACTCATATTAATTAATATATTAATATTAATCTGAAACCTTTTTTGGCTCCTTCAACATGCCACACGCATCTTCCATTTTAGCCTAATTAATTTTCAATTTTTTTTCATCCAGAGAATTCATTAAAACCTTATTTTCTATGCATTTTAGTACAACAAAATACCCAGTTTAATCAAATCAAACAACCCGAACACCTGACTTTGTTCGCCAAAGTCAAGCTAAATACGCAGTACCGTATTTCCCAGACTATAAGTCGCTCTGGAGTATAAGTCGCACCAGGCAGCTAGAGTGCCCTCTGGCGGCTGTCATTGTGAAAATAACCAACATGTATATTTTCAGTGGTACAGGAGTGACTGCTATACTGGTACACAAGCCTAGAGTGCCCTCTAGCGGCTGTCAGTGGGAAAAATAACAAAAACAAAAATCAGGGGTCTCCAACCTTTTTTGAGTGCTACTTCAAGGGCACTTGAAGTAACACAGACACAGACTTCCCGAACAATGTATTAAAAATTGGTTTGGGGGACATACATAACAGCAGACATTCTTCTTACCATCGCCATTGCACCCACTTAAATATCACTGTGAGTGGAACTGATTCAAAAAGCACAGTAACACAGTAACAGTTTTTTGACCCTCTTGTTGACTAGTTTTATATTGAGAACATGACCCACGGCACCTTAGGTACAGGAGTAGCAGATACTGGTACACAAGCCTAGAGTGCCCTCTAGCGGCTGTCAGTGTGAAAATAACCAACATGTGAAATTATATATTTTAATATATACGTCGTGCCTCAGTATAAGTGGCAAACCCAGCCAAAGGATAAAAAAAAGGTGCAATTTATAAAATATAGTAACTTAATATTTAATATTTAATATATAATAGATTAAATGATGTCAATGCGTGTTATTTGCAATTAATTGTACGGGTTCAACTCTCATGGCAACGTAACTAATTGACGGATTCTATGACTGCTGTGAGTGCAAGTGCACTGTGCCTGAGCACGGCAGACTTCGCCAACGCCACATGGTTGAAATTTCCTGCTGCCTCCTACCAATATCTTTGTATGCAGATCCAACGGAAAAAAAAACCCAGCAATTAGCGATCGTTTTGCTGATAGTTTACAAAGAAAAAGGCAGTCTTTGCAGCTTGCGTTGCTTTAAGGCTAACTTGTACGAACAACAGTCACTGATGTACAGTACGTTTCAGAGGCAACCGGGCTTCGGGCACGGTACGGGATAAATGGCGCTAGTTTGCGTGCACTCTGAGCCAATGCACAGGCAGCAGCAACACAGCCATCTCAGCTCATCGTCACCGCACGTAGGTAAATGGGTGTTGTATTACTTATAGTCACCTTATTTTACAAAGTTGGCAAGAGTGTAAATACTGGGTTTGTCATAACTTGACCTGCCTTCTCATCCAGGGCCTTGTGGTGCTCAAACAGAGATTTCAGCGCCTTGAGAACTTCCACCTCGCTAGAGACTCCTGCAGGAGACTGGGCTTGTCTTTTCACAACCGTCATCCTCAGACTGCGCTCATGGCGAGAAACCAAACACTCCAAGTGTTCCAGCAGCAGCTATGTTAAGGGAAAAGGGGACAGAAGACGCTAAACGTTTTAAAATTGACAGATAAAATTGGATTTCTAAAAATAAATAGCGAGGTGAGCGGGATCAAATTAACAGAAACAGAAAGATCACAAGGAGAAACAACTAGGTTTGAGAGGAAAAAGCAGCAAACGAAACAGTGTCGCATTTTTTTTTTTTCCAAAAAGCACAATGGGCGTTAGAGGTAACGTGAAAGGGTGTCACAGTGCTAACGAGCAAAATGGCAGCTCAACGTCTTACACGTGTGTTGTTTCTCTCAGCCTTGAGTTCGTTGATTTCTTCCTCCCTTTCCAGCAGCTGCTCTCGGCAAATATTCAGCTCTTTAGTCAGCACAGCAAACTCCTGTTAATGGGACACATAACCTGGGTTAAGAAGTGAGAGCTTTAGGTTTGGGGTTAAATCTCAAAAGCTGTAAAATATAGGGAATATTTTATTCATCCCACAGTGGGGAAATTCATAAATGCTAGTACTTCGCAAGTTAAGCACCAGTTCCAAATTCACTGTGAAGAAGAGATGTTTACTATAAAAAGATTATTTCGACAACATAGAACCATCATAGAATTCTAATAATTAAAATAAATCAAATAAAATCCCCGTTTGAGTTTAAGACAAAAAGTAAATCAAAATA